TGATTATAGGCCTGGTACCTGGAGGTAAGTTTATGGGGCTGCAGGAAGACTTTGATGATAAGGGGTTCTGGCAGACAGCCCCCCACTCCACCATGTGACAGCTACCTCCACTGTCCTTGCAGAGAATCCGCCAGCTCACATGCCCAGCTGAGGAGCTGCCCAAATGGAACCAAGGAGGACCTCCTGCCCCTGCCACACACACAACGTCACTTCTCAGAACGTCACTCAAAGAACCTGAGTCTCACTGCTAGGGTCCAGACTCTCAGATGGTGCCTGTGAGCTTGGGTGTGGGGCCAACTGCAAAAGCAGAGGGCAAATGCAGTCCTTCTCTGCTTCTCTGCTCCCCACCTGGGGCAGACAAGACAAAAGATATTTGCCAAATATCCCAAAAGATATTTGGGAATCTGCCTTCTGCACTGGGGGCCTTCCACTCCAACTTCCCTGCTCCAGGGGTGGTCTAAACAGTTGTGAGATGCCAGTATCAAGAGGACCCCTTTGAGGCAGCTTGGGAAGCTGGGTGAGGGCTGGCGGGGTGAGAGCATGGCTGGTGTCTGGCCTTCTACCCTTCATTCCATTAAACCCATCTTCCCACTGACTCTCGCAGTTCTGTCTGGTTTCTGCCCTCTGCCTTGTGCCTTGGCCACCTTCCCACTTTGAATCTGTGGCTGTAGGACCCTTCCTCTCCCTTCCCTCACCTTCCCTCAGTGAGTTCTCCTTGTGGACCACTTAGCAGAGGGTATTGCTGTGGTGGGAGGGTGACAGGGCCAAGCCACAACCCTTCATTATCAGACATTTGGACCAGAGGAAGCTTCCACACCTCCCCCATGCTTCCCTTCTCTCCTCCTTTGCTCTGCAGGATAAGAAAGGAGATGGAGGCAAGGAAGGGGGAGTCCTGGGCACTAGCTACAGGAAAGTAAAAGCCTGGTTGCAGCTTCTTCTTTCCTGCATTCCCTTTGTTGTGTCCTTGCCTGCCCTTAAAGTTGGTCTATGCATGCCTACCCAAGACCTGGTGCTGGGGACCTAAGAGAGGGCCAGCAGGCCTTGCCATTGCCTATGGGAGGAGGGAAAGGAGAGCCTTGGCAGAGGAGGGCACTACCCCAGCTCTGCCAGTAGAGGGACCCCACCGCCCCAGGATGGCCTTGCTCCTTTTATGTTTTGCAAAAAGTTGCTGTCACCATTAAATGTGGCCACAAGGGGGTGGCACTGCCATGACCTCCACTTCACTGTTAGGGCCTAAGCTGTAGAGATGAACCCCTAGGGTTAGGCTGCAAAGAAGTTCCAGGTGGAAGGCAAAGTCCAGTCATGGTGATTTGAGTCCCTTTCAGGAGATTCACAAATGGTAAAATATGGTGTGAAAATCACTGCCTGGCTCAAAAATCAGGAGCTAGGGTTCTGGTCCTGACTTGTCTCTAACTTGCTGTTTGTCTGTGTGGAAGCTCCTTGGACTTCATGTTCATTTTTCAGATGCACCATGCACTGCACCTACAACCCCATCAAGTTGCATTCATATGTCCATCTGTCTGTTGTAGGGCTCAAATGAGGCCGTGGGTGTGAGAGTCCTTTCAGTCTTCTGATGCCCTGAGTGTGAGGTCACTAAACATTTGGGGAGATGGGTGAGGGGAGGTTCTCTGGCCATCCAGGAGTGGGGAGCTGACAGGTACTAATGTGAGAAATGCTGCTGGTTTTGTTCCTGCACTTGGTTTAGGCCAAGGGAGGGGACAAGATGAGAGTGGGGGTGGAGGAGGGCTGTTTTTGTCCCCATCTGCTTTCCTTGCCTGGAATGGCAGAGACAATTTCCAGAGGAAGAGAGCACAACAGGATGGGAAACCTCCCTTGTCCAAAGGCTACACCTGTTAGAGAAGCAGGTGGGGAGAGTCTTGGGCAGGTGACAGCAAACAGCAGAAGCATGAGTAACTGGAGATTTCCAAACTGAGGCTTAGTGCGGTAGCAAGCACTTGTTGGACACTTGGCTCACCAAGCTGCCTTGGGGCCTCAGACCTCGTGCCTTAGACCTTACAAACAGATATATTTAGGTCTCTGATTCATACATGTGTGTACACACAGTTTCTCACTATCCTTAGACAAATGTGCACTCGTGCACAAAGTTAGAGGCCTCACAGTCAGCTGAGCACACTCCTTTACTGAGACTTGCTGTAAGACCTTGGGCAAGGTAAACTCTCGGATCCTTAGTTTTCTCCTCTGAAAAATGAGGATAATATTATTTATATCATAGAAGTCACTGTCACCCAGTAGAGAGAATAGTGACAGCTGCCCTGGGGACACTCAAGCAAATCCCTTGTATTTACCCCACATTGGACTGTCAGTATAACAGAAAAGCCCAGGATGAGATGAGACATCCTTGCTGTCCACTAGCTTCACCCCACCTAGACATTATGATGCATTGGGCTCCATGAAGGAGAATACACATTTATTGAGTTAAACTTATTTGTTAGGAGGCAAGGGAGAGGCAGTCCTAAAAAAGTGTTCATCCTGTGGCCCAGCAGTCCTGCTCATCACAGCAGTATTGTTCAAGAAAAGCAGGACCTGAGCCTCCCTGCTTTAGCTTATTCCCTGGTCCTGGGAGAGCAAAGCCTTCCCAGGATAGGAAAGATGGGGATCATGTTTTCCCCATCAAGTTGCATTCATCTGTCTATCTGTCTGTCAGTTCATCCATACATCCATGTAATCAGTAAAAACCAAATGCCTACTGTGAGGCAGTATTGTTTTAAATGCTAGCAGCAGAAACAAAGAATTATGAAATGAAACCCCTGACATTTATGTATGTATGGTCTGGTAAATAGTATGCTGCATACTGCATAGATTTTTGGAACCAAGAGACCCAGATTCAAATCCCAGTTCTATCATTGACCAGTGCATGGCCGTGCGACAAATCACTTAGCATATATTCTCCTTAGCATTCTCTTCTGTAAAATGGGGCTAATAATGCCTACATTTCAAGATTTCTAAGGGGATTACATGAGGTAACATGTAAAGCACTGAGCCTGAGTTAGATGCTGATGAAATAGGTTCCACTCCAGGTCCTCTAAAAGCATGCCTGGAGTTAGAAGATGATGGTGTTGAGAACATTCTAGGGGGTACAGTAGTTCTTACTGCAGTGAGATCACTATTCACTTGGCCATATTTCCTCTCAATCCAGGACTCTTCCCAGTATGGAAACAGTCCAGTCTTAGCTAGAATTTCTAGGATTCCTTCTTTTTGCAAAGACAGGGTTTCTGGCCTCAGAATTTTCCAGTTGGACTGAATAAGGGGATAAGGATGGCTCAAAGTTAAGCCAATGAGACTCAGACCAGAGGCATCGAGGTAAGGGCAGGGAGGAATGAGGCAGAGAGGACTTTCTCTTTGGGGGAAAAATCAAGCTCCACTCCCTGGGGAGAGAGGGAAAGAGAGTCAGGCTAGGTAAGAGGGTGAATTTGGAGCTGCTGGATATTTTGTTTTCTAGTAGCTGTAACTAGGTAGTCTCCTGGACTCTAGTAACCCCTTTGCGATAAACTCTATAATCAATACATTTTGGACCCAATATTCAGAGACAGGGCAGGCACAGCAATGCAGATGGCACCGTGACAGTTGGGCATGGGGGTAACACAAATGTGGATTCTGGCTAGGCTGGGTCCTCCTCTGCCAGAGCCAACCTTCAGCCTGACTTCTAGAATCACAGAGGCAAATGGCCTGAGAACTTAGACTCACTCTAGCTTTCTTTTGATGAGGGACCTCACAGAAGAGGCTGAGAGGGGCCGGAGGGATGTTGAGTAGGGGTGCTTGATGGAAAATTACAAACTGAGATTCTCACTTCACACCCCTCTGCTGCTGGGAAGTTCTAAAAGACAAAGAGGAAGCACATGTAAAGGGAAATTTCCCCTTCTCCCCACAACTTCCCCTCCCCCCACACCACCTGTAGCTGAAGAAACATCTTTGTCTAGAAGAAGGCACTGTCCCTTCTGAATGAAGGGCCATGGGACAGTCTTGTCCCCAGTGCCTTGAGGGCATGCTCAAGAGAGGTGACGAGGGACTCATTCTGGAGAAGCTCATTGGGCATGCAGCACAAGGCACATACTCCACACAGGCCCTTCAGCACTGCCGGCTGCCAGGCTATTCCAGAGAAATCCTATCAGTGTACATCAGTGCCAAGAGGTGCTGCTTAGGACCAGACCCTCCATGTTCCGAGACCCCGCTTCCAGAGGCATCATAACGAACATCAACAGCTTCCCTTGAGCTCTTGGGCTAGTCCAGGCAATGACCAACTTGTCTATAATAATCCCTGCAAACTATGGATTATTAACTTTTCCAGTGTGGGAAACTGAGGCTCGGCTCCTCACCTAACCGACCAGACTGGTAGGTGCTAGAGGAGAGGAGGAAAGCCAGCCCTGTCTGGCTGCAGACCTGAGTCCTCTCTGCATCATGTACCTTGAGATACACACGCTCTGGGTGCTTTCTCTAGGAAAATCCCAAGGAGAAGGTAGTGGTTCTAGAGCTCTGCCTGGAAGCCACAGAGGGCAGGTACTTGGTGGAAAACTCCAGTGTGTGATTCACCCTCCTCCCGTGCCCTCATCAGGGAGGCCAACTCCCCTCCCGAGTTTTCAGTCTTCAGCCTGGGAGGTGGTGGCTTCCATCTGCTGCTCTGGTAAGAGAGGGCTGTCCCTTGCCTAAGAAGGGGATGGTACTGTGGTGGGGGGCAGAGGGAGAAAGGGAAGGGGCAAAGAACAAGAGGGGAGATGAGGGCAGGATGTGAGGGTCTAAGCCCCTTCCCCTGCTCAGCCCAGCTCCGGAGGGGACAGGACATCTTGGGACAGTGCCAATGGGAGGGCAAAGGCCAGGAGGGAGGGGGCTACAGCACAAGTGTAATGGGGTGGGGGCAGGGACAGAGGGCTTGGCTTCCTGAGGTTGGATGTTGTAATCCTGATTCGTAGACTTTTGGCCTCAATCCCTCCTGTTACTTGTGGTATTTCTGTCCCTTCACTTCCCAATACTCTGTCTCTCTTTGTCTCACACACACAGAGAGAGTGGCTTTCTGTCTGGGAGTCCCAGGACAACTCGGATGGGAGTCCGTGCTGGGAGGAACAGGGGGAGTGAAGGTGGAGAGCATTCCCCTTTCAGGTCCCTGGGAATGACCCATGTATGGAGCTGAGCTGACTGCAGGGCACTGAGGTGAGCAGGAAGTGGAGGGGCTGGCTTGATCTTGGGGCTCGAGAGATAAGATGTGGGGCTGGACTTCACAGAACTATGGGGGGGGTCTTGGGGAGCGGGGGTAGGCAACTGCAATTCCCCACGCCAAAGAGAAAGTCTGGTATTGGGAATGCTGGGACAATGGGTGCCACCAAGTACCCCTCAATATCCACAGCACTGGGTGCTCAGGAACAAACCTGTGTAGCAGGAGAGTCTATTACCCGAGCTGGCCCTGGGCAGTGGGTAAAAGAGGGGCAGTCAGCTGACTCGGACGGTGGGGGAGGCAGGCAGTGCCCAGAGAGGTGGGAACTAACAATCACAGGTGAGGGGTGACAGTCCTTCCCTTCAGGGTCACTGGTGAGCCGGAAGCCAAGTGGCTCCCAAAAGAAGGAAGCAGCCTGGCTCTTGGGTTGCAGCAGGGGCGTGTTTGTGTCTAAGGTTGGGGGCGGTGTGAGGGAAGGCGTGGGCAGCCACCAGCAGAGCCAGGCCGCCCACGGGGTGTGAAGGACTACAGACAGAGCCAGGCTTTGGTGCCATGCACACAGGTATGTGTGTGCAAAGAGACGTGACGGAAGGCACCAGTGTGCGTGTAGGAATGGGTATTGGTATGTGGGTGTGGGCTGCAGCAGTGGCCAGGCCATTCTCACGCTGGATAGGCTGCCAAGGAGACTGAGCCCGGACCTGGCCACTGGCAGGCAGTGGCATTTCTGGCCTTCACCTGCTAGAGCCCGGCCAGGCTTCTATCTACACACCCAGCACCCCAAACAGAAAGTAACTTTGTACTTTCTAATCTCTGAAAGACTAGAGCCCAATGTGTGCATTGGTGTCTTTGCTTCTGGAGGGGAGAACCATCCCCTATCTCCATCTTCTGCCCCATTTTAATAAAGCAGGGAGACAATCTGGGGAGGAGATGCTGGGGGCTGCCAAAGGGACAGAGCTGGGGTGAATTCTTGGGAAGATTTCCAGAAGTCATCTTTGCTGTGGACAACACTGGTTAAACCATTCTTAACAGATGAGAGGTAGAAAGGTGCAGTAGGGGTAGGCTATGCTGTTCTTTTGGCTTTTAAAAATAACCCCAAAAGGATAGCCACATCGTTTATTTTTACGTCTAATGTCCTCCAGGATATTTCCCCCCCTAGTCTAGCTTAAATCTCTCTTTCTGCAATTCCAGTCTCTTTCCCCTTAACTTAACCAGGGCTCTGAGCCAACTTTTCCTTTCACTTGCTCTTGCTTTCATTCTGCCATTCCAGTTTTTCATTCTTACCTGTAAGTTATGCTTCTTCCAATAATATTTTTGTTTAAAAAAATGTTTTATCCCATGTCAGTACATGTTCTCTTCTGTCTCCTCCCCCATCCTCAATACAACCCAAATCCTTGGCACAAACTGAGTTCTGTCCTTGCTCTCCTTCAGCTTTCCCTTCATCCATCCCTTCAGTTACTCCTTTTATCCATCAGGTCTGCCATCCTACACCTATTGAGAACATCATGGTCTTAAAATAGTCACCTCTGGTCTGGAAATAGTAAGGCTTTTCTGCTGACCATTCCCTTGGGGACTCTTGTGTTTGGGCTTGCCCTGAGCTCAGCTACCCTATGGCTTGGCAAGCAAAGACAGTAGTTGCTGGGGCTGGGATTGTGGCTCAGTGGTAGAGTGCTCGCCTAGCATGTGCAAGGCCCTGGGTTCGATCCTCAGCACCATCACATTAAAAAAATAAATAAAATAAAGGTATTAAAAAAAAAGACAGTGATTGCTTATTATGGATCTTACTGTTATTCTCCCACTCTTGCAATATCCCTGTTGAGCAGGGGTCCTTCTCTCTTCCAGGAAGATTTAAAGTTCAGAGAGGAAGTGTGAGTTGACTAAGGTCACACAACAAGACCCAGCTCCACCACTTATTGTCTTGGTAAGTTTATTCCGCCCTTCCAAGGGAGTTTTACTGAGCACCTGCTAGGTGCCAGGTACTGTTCTCTAATCTCTGAGCTTCACTTCCTCATATATAAAATGGAGCTAATAGTAACACCTACTTCAGAGACTTATGAGGAAGAGATTCAATAATGTACATAGAGATTAGTATGTTTTTAGCTCAGTGCTTCCTCGAATGTTAACCTTCTGTTGTTATTGTAATTAGCAAAATGTGGATGAGATCTCGGGTTTCTTCTCTGATGCTTTTGAGTCCATGTTTCCAAGTTTTCATTCACTTATTTGTTCATTAGTTTGATAATGATTCAGAGGCTGTTCCTTAGGGTGCCCCAGTTCTAACTCATTAGCAATGGTCACTTTGGGGTTCAGGTGTCATGGACCTCTCCCCTGGTCGAGCTCCCCTGTTCTTTCAACCTGAAGCTCTGGTTCTTTAAGTTCCCCTGGGGCTGTCCACTTCCTCCCAACCTGGAGCCCTCTTTTCTTCTCTTCTTCCCTCCTTCTCTCTTGTACCTGAGGTTCAAGGCCTCTGAATTCCCGGGTGACTCCTTGTTCTCCCTCCTGGATTGAGCTTGCATTAGAAGCCTCTGAACAAGTCCCAATCCCGGCATTTTACCCTGACATGCTTTCTGCTCCTGGGATAACCTGTACCCTCCAAGTCACCTTCAAAAATTTCCATAACCTCAAATGGCTCCTGCCCACGCCTTTCTAACTGACTTGGGCTTGGGCTGTTGCCTGGGTTAAAAGGACCAACAAATAAACACAGACTCTTCCTTAATAAAAAGACTCCCTTGTGTTTCTCTAGAGCCTCGGAGGAGCATGGAGCACTTGGTAGACCTGGTCACTTTGATTCCCCCAACACCCCTCCCAGGTGAGGGGTGGCAGGATGGGTGCTTCTCTCTGTAGGCTGGGGCAATGTCTCCTGGCACTTGCCTGGGAATAAAGGCACAAGTGGCTTCAGGCTGATTGTTTGTATGGGTGGAGAGAGGAGAAGGCAAACATGGGCTGCAGAAACAACTCTGCTGCCATTTGTCTCTTGGTGATTGACAGATGAGAGGATTGGAAAATAAAACTGACAGGGGCCCACATCATCCTTTTGGAGGTCCAGGGAGTTTGGGGATCTTTAAGAGGGGAGGGATAAAGGATAGTCAGTGATCTGCAATGACGGGCAGTTCTTACCAGGCTTGTCCCCACCCTTTTAAATAAGTACTTTTATTTATTTACTTTTATGTGGTGCTGAGGATCGACCTTAGTACCTCACTCGTGCAAGGCAAGCACTCTACCACTGAGCTACAACCCCAGTCCTGGCTTCCCTCTTAAGGAGACCATTTGGTCATCTTGGAGTCATCTGGAGATGACCACCACCCAAGTAACAATTGCTCTGGTGACCCCTCCTGGCACACAGCCCCTTAAGTTTTCTCATGACAGAAATGCAACTGAGAGAAGAGAAACGGGGTTCCTTTGAAGGCCTATACTTGGCCCTGGTGCCAGTTCTAGTCCCCATCCTGCTTTGTTCTGAGGTCCCACCTTCTCCTGCCCTTCCAATCAGACATCCAGGGCTAGCCGGCCCCATGTTTACCCAGAGTTGATCCATCACCTTGGCACAGGAATGAGCACACAACTGGGGGGGACAATACAGCCACCTTGGACAAACTGCCCTTTGACCCCCATCACCTCTGGCAGCCTTTGATTCCTTCTGCCCTGGAGGCCAGAGGCCGGGCTAGTGTCACCTACTAAATACTGAGGATCTGGGCGCACGGGCCAGCTGTGATGGTGACTGGCGATAGAGATCAAGAGCCACTTGGTCTACAATGCCCCACGCCTGGACTTTCACGGCAGCTCTGCTCCTGCATGGTCTTGGGCAAGTCGCATCACTTTATCTGTGGAGGCTTGACTTTCCTGTCAGCACATCTGCAAACTGAGATTTGCTCCCCATTTGTTTAGTCTCATGACTCTGAGAGCAAAGTGTAACTCTATGGAGAGGTGCCATGGAGAAGAAAAGCAATACTCCAACAGCAAAGACCGGGCTGGGGAGGGCAGGACGGTGGGGCCTGTGCCAGGGTCTTACAGTTCACTCCTCCTCCCACCAGACTTTGCCTCTCTGACATCTTGCTCCATCCCACGGGGACTCCCAACTCACTATCTGGCTATGGACAAAAAAGTGGCAGTCCATGAGGATGGGCCTCCTATGGTCTCCTGGGTCCCGGAGGAGGGAGAGACGTTGGACCAGGAAGGCGAGGACCAGGTGAAGGATCGGGGCCAATGGAACAACAAGATGGAGTTTGTGCTGTCAGTGGCCGGGGAGATCATTGGGCTAGGCAATGTCTGGAGGTTTCCCTATCTCTGCTACAAAAATGGAGGTGGTGAGTTCACACTGAGGTAGGCGTGGTGGGGAGAGCCGTGCACTGTGGCTGAGCAGTGCCTACCTGGGCCCCTCCTTCCCGGGCAGTGCGGTAACATGGAAGGAGGGCTGTCATCGAGTTGGAGGCCTGTGGTAGAGCTCCAGCTCCACCTCCAGCCTCAGTGTCTCCCTCTACGAAATGGGGATGATACCTCACAGGGATCCGGTGACTTTTAAATGAGGCAACAGCAGGACCAAGAAATCTGGGTCCTCCATTACTCTATACACACTCCATTCATTCATTCAACTAATATTACTGCAGGTCTATCTTGTGCCAGGCACTGTTCTCCATACAAAACAGAGCCCGCTCTGAGTGTTATATTTTGACAAAGGCTGACAGATTACAGACAAGAAAATGTGTACTATGTCAAGTGGTGATAAGCAGAGTGGCAAGAAGTAAAGCAGGGATAAGGGACAGGAAATGCTGGATCACTGGGACAGGCAGAGGGATTTGATATGGAAAACAGGGAGACCAGGAAAGGTTTTGCCAAGAAGGCAATATTTGAGCAAAGATGTGAAGGTGAAAGTGTGAATCCATGGTTGCATGCAGGATAAAGAACATTCCCAACACTGGGAATAGTGAGTGCAAAGGTCCTGGGGTGAAAGATCAATGACCTGTTTGAGGAACACTGAGGAGGCAGTGTGGAGCTGAATGAGAGAGGAGAATAACAGGAGATGAGCTCAGAGAAGTAATGGGTTTAGATCTTGAATTCTTTGTTCCAAGTGAAATGGGAGCCATTGAAGTATTTTGATTGGAGAAATAATAACTTGTCTATATATTTTTTTCAGATGAAGAAAATGTATTTGATTGTTTTTTGGCATCGGTAGTAAAAGTTAACAAGGTCACAGTGGGGAAGGGCCAGATTTATTTTTTTAAGTGTGCCATTCAGTGATTTTAGTATATTCACAGAATAGTGCAACCATCATCAAAATCAATTTTAGAACATATTCATTGTCTCTAAAAGAAAGTCATGACTACTAGCTGTCACTCCCCATTCCCTCACCCCCTCCCCACTTTCAGCCCTGGGAAACCATTATCTGCTGTCTCTAAGGATCTACCTACTTGGGGTATTTCATGTAAATGGAACCCTTCAATATGTAGTCCTTTGTGATCGATCTGATTATTTTTTTTCCTCTTGAAATTACCTTTTTCTTTCATATTTTTTCTTGTCATACTGGAGGTTGAACCCAGGGGCACTTTACCACTGAGCTACATCGTCAGCCTTTTTTATTTTTTATTTTGAGACAGGGTCTCTCTAAGCTGACCTTGAACTTGCTATCCTCCCATCTCAGCCTCTCAGGTTGCTGGGTTTACAGGCATGCACCACCAAGGCCGGCACCTTTTTTTTAATTTTTTTTTTGGTAGAAATTATATATATTTATTATAAATACTAGAAATGCTCTAGGTGGGTAAAAAGAAGAAATACATTGTGAGATAACCATGGTTTAGGAAATCCTTCTAAACACTATTTATATGTAATTTGACAAATGTTTACTGAGTATTCACTACACATGTTGCTATGTGTTTTATTTTTATTTTTTTAAAGAGAGAGAGAATTTTTAATACTTATTTTTTTTAGATTTTGGCAGACACAACATCTTTGTTTATATGTGGTGCTGAGGATCGAACCTGGGCCGCACGCATGCCAGGCGAGCGCGCTACTGCTTGAGCCACATCCCCAGCCCCAATTGCTATGTGTTTTAAAACTTACAGTTGTTTTCATGAACTGTTTATACTAATGACTCCAGAGAAATGGAAATGGAATTTCTTGAGTGGATCAGGATGATGGTGGGAGACTGACACCGGCCAGAAGTTAGGGGAGACAGTGAGGAGCGGCAGAAGTGTGCTTTCTTTCTTTGTCCCAGGACATAGTGTTGTGGATGAACCTAGGTTGCTAGAGCCAGAGCTGAGGGTTATCAAGTCCCAGAGGAGGCCTTGCCCCAGAACACAGCTAGGGCGATGCTTGTGGTTGGGTGACTGCCCCCAACTCACTGTTTACATCTTGTCCTACTACCTGGAAGAGAGAGCCTGAGGGCAGGAGGCAGGGCCCCAGGCTCTGGTGGCTGAGCCCAGGTCATCTCCAAGATGGCAGGATCAAAGAAAGACATTATATCTGTATCACTTTAGCTCTGTTGCTAAACCACCCAAAGTAAGGGTTTGATAAGCTAATTTATAGAACTGGTGTGTTGGAAACTCAGAGAGAAATCCAAACATGGAGGAATCAACGTCCTCCCCTACGCTACAAGGTCTAAACATGTGACCAGCCTGAGGTGAGGCTCTTCTGAGGTCCCCAGCTTCTGTGGGACCAAAGCCCACATTTTAAAGTCAGAACGGAAGCCGTCTCCTTTATTAGAGAGAAGGACATCTGACAGCTGGCAGAAGGGGCCTGTGGGCCACATGCCCCATAGCTCTCCTAGAAAGTGCCCTGTGGGAGAACCCCGGAGCTACGTCCTTTCTCCTGAATCCTGCCCTCAGCCCTGGCACTGCAATCATCCACGAAACCCAAACCTGAGCCAGTTCCGTCACTGCAGTGTGCTCGCCAATGCTCTAGTAGCACTCAGGCTGGGGAGGCCAATGTGAGGCAACAGGACTGTAGCTCAGTGGAGAGTTAGGTGGCACTCTGGTCCAGAGGACATAAACCCTTCTTCACTCTCACATGTTACTAGGGGGGGCAGGGTGGTATAAGAGTTATGGAGGGCAATGTGAAATGCATGCCAAAGACCTTTAGGCAAGGTATATCCCCAAAGGTGGAAAGAACCCAGATGTCCTACAGTGGATGAATGGATAAACCAAGTGTGACATATACACACAAAGGACATTATTTAGCCTTAATAGAGAAGGAAATCATGATATATGCTGCAACATGATGCATCTTGATACGTTAAATTAAATCAATCAGGATAAATACTCCCTGATCCCACCTTCATGAGGAACCTAGAGTAAGCACGTTCATAGAAACAGAAAGTAGAACTGTGGTTGCCAGGGACTGGGGAGGAACAGGAATGGGGAGTTGCTGTTCAATACGTACAGAGTTTCAGTTTGTGATGATGAAAAAGTTTCAGGAGGTGGATGGGGTGATAGTTACACAACTGCGAATGGACTTAGTGCCCCTGAACTGTGCACTTGGAAATGGTTAGAATGATTCATGGTGTATGTATTTTAACACACATACACATGCATGTAAAACAAAACAAAACAAAAGCTTATCTTTGGACTCAGCAATTCCTCTACTGGCAATTTGTATTAAGGAGAAATTAGACAAGTACATGAGGCTATGGACAATGGTCTTCACTGTGGTGGTGTTTCTAATGTACACTGAAAAACCCAACAAGATACTTGAAATATGCTAGAATTCCATACAGTGGAATACTATACAGCCAATAAATGATACTATACAGCCAATAAATGATTCATTGGTTGATATGAACAGGTTCATGATGAAGATTTTTAAAATGGTTGTCAAATAATCTATAGTAGGTTCTCGTTTTGCAAAAGAGAAATAATGTGTGTGTTTATAAGAAAACTAGAAGGATTCACAGAGCTTTTTCCTTTATACTTCCCATTTTTTCCTACACATGAGAGAGATTACTTTAGAGGCATTTTGATGTAGTGGTTAAGATCAGGATCAGATTCCCCAGGTGGTGCCTCTGTTTCCTCATTTATGCCTCAGTTTTTTGCATTTTAAACCCAGCCTCAGTTTTCTCTTCTGTGAAAGGGGATAGCAATAGTACTTACCTCATGGGAGGATGTTTTGTGAGGATTTTGATGTTGGTGAAGCATTTAGAAGAGGGTCTGAAACATAGCACCAAATAATGCCAGGTGTTATTATTAGGTGATGAACCAGAATCCTATTGCCCAAAGATGAACCTCTGAGGTGAGGTTGCGGCCTTGGTGATTTCTACCAAAGTGGGCACTGGGCTGAGGGGTGTCTTCAATTCCATCACATCATTTGCTGAACGTCTCTTAGCCTGGCCTCCCCTCAGTAGCTGCTGGTCAGTGCCTAATTATGTGATAGCTTTCTCTGCTGCGAGTCTCCTTCAGACCAGAGCCTGATGGGGGTGGGGGAACACTCCAAAAATTACTAGTGTGAAAATAATGTTTCCAAGGTGTTTTTTTTTGTTTGTTTTTCTCTAAAATGTACCAAACTTGATAATTTAATAAGCATATCAAATTATACAGAACACTTGTTTGGGTTCCAAAAATAATACACTGATGAAATTCGTGAAGCACACTAAGAAAATAAATAGTGCATATACTATTTCCTAATCCTAATTCATTCATTTCCTTTCAAAGGCCTTGCCCACCTCACGCAGGGTTTAGTCTGGAACATTTCCACCCATCACCCCTGACAGCATGAGAAAGGAGGAGGCCATCTTGGGCCCCAGGGAGGCGTGAGGAAGGCACTAAGGAGGAAGGTGCTGGAGGTCTGGGAGGGTCCCCGGGCTGAGAGCAGAAAGGTGTGGCTCAGTCTCTGCCTCTCCTCTCCTGCAGGGGCCTTCTTTGTTCCCTATTTCATCTTCTTCTTCAGCTGCGGAGTCCCCGTGTTCTTCCTAGAGGTGGCCCTGGGCCAGTACACCAGCCAAGGGAGCGTCACTGCCTGGAGGAAGATCTGCCCCCTCTTCCAGGGTGAGTATTCTGCCTCCTCCTTCCAATACATGGGGACGTCCTCATGCCTACCTCCTTCCAGCGTCCCTCCCTTCACTGTCATCATCCTCTCCGTGCTCACTGTCCCCTTTGCTTATCCACTCTCCTCCTGCACTAAGTGAGAACCAGGCTTTTCAGGGCCCAAGCTTACAAAGCTTGGGAAGGAGGGTACACTTCAAGAAAAACAGACAAAATGACAAATACCAAATCAGGTACAGAGCTTGGGATGGGTCCCTGCAAGTAAGGAACCCTAAAGTTCAAGCTTCATCAGCCTCATGGAAAGTGTTTCTGAGTTGATGTCATGGTCCCAGATGGGCCTACAACACATGTAGTGACAGGAATGATGCTGATGGGGATATCTAGCATCTATGGAGCGCTACCCTGTGTCAGGTCTCTTGTAAGCACCTTTCTCACCTAATTCTCTGGTAACTATTGGTTTCATTTTGTAGATGAGGAAAATGGGGTCATTCACAAAGGATTTGAGTCCAGATCTACCTGAACCCTTTCCCTCTTGACTATACCAGGGGCAGCTTCTGTTCCTCTCACAATGAATCTGTTGGCACTAATGTGAGCAGCCTGGGGCATCCTGCCCCAACCCCTCTTTAGTTGATTGGCCAGTCCCCTGGGGGATAGTGGGATGCCCAAGGGGTCTTCCTGTCCTTCAAAGGTTCTTTGCACATTTTGAAATGCAGAGAGGACTCTTCCCCTCATGTCAGTGCCTAAGGGAGCCCTGGGGATAGGCATTCTTGAGTTTCCTGGGCACAGTTCAAATTGGATAGAGGTGTCATGAGGAACATCTTGGTTACTGGGTAGGCTGGGTACCTGACCACATTGGGGAAGAGTGAAGCCTGTTTCATGCTGTGCTTCTGGAACATCCAGGGGGGTCCTTGAGGAGATAGCAGTGAGGGGCAGAGCAGAGCAAAGCTTGGCCTACCACGTTTCTACTCATAAGTTCTGGGCGCTGCAGGAGTTTCTGGGTGTTCTGCTCCGAACTCAGCAGTAATGTAAAAGTCCCACTCAACTGAGTTCTAACCCCAGGTCCAAGCAAGCTCCTGGGCAGCAGCAGTAGAGCCTGGCCTCTGCAGAACACCCTTATGGGGGTACCTGGCAGGTGGACATTGGATGGGTAGGGGAAGAGACTGTGAGACTGCGGCTCCTTTCCTCTTCCAAGTTACTGGGCTTCGCCTGGCCTGGGTGCTCCGGAAGAGGCTGGCTCAAGGTGTGTGCCCCTCCCCGCGGTGGGAGTGCAAGCTGCTCACTGCCTGCCCATTCCCTGCCTAACTGTCCCCTCCTCCTCCAAGCTCCCAGCAGCCCGCGTCCTCGCTCTGCAGGCGCCACCAGACCCCC